CATGGACGTCTAACACAAGATAGTGAAAACACTAGAAAGCATCTCTATCTCTCTCTGTCTACCTATCTCTAGACAACCTCTTCTCATGGTGGAGGCTTCAGTATAAAGTAGCATTGTGAGTGCTGGGTTACATTTTGCTTTCCTCCCTTTTCTGCCTTCGTGCAGTTCATGCCCTCGTTTGAGACCCACTGACTCTCACCGGCCTCACGAACACAGCAGTCTGCTCTGCCCCTTTGTTGAAAGCGGAGCAGAGAAAGCCAAGGGGGGAATTCAGGCTGCCATCAGTTCCCCACCTTTGCGCTGCAACAAAGGGCAGCTATGCAAGCAGGCACCAGGCCAGCACTGAAGAGTAACAAGGCAAAAGCCGGTTTCGGGGAGATGACAGTTTAGCATCATGGTACTGCACCCATACGGGTGGAGCATTAGTTTAGTCATTTGTGCAGAAAGGGTAACAAGCCAGTAAACACCGCAGAACTAACACTGAAGTCTAGGTCACAATCCATTACCAGAAAAAACACAACCAATCATACCCAAAACAAAAACCACCACCACCACAAAAAATCATCCCTGGGAAGGCCTGCTCTGATGCATCTGATTCATTCTGCAGGTCCAGCCTGTCTGAACCTAGCCCCAGCTCAGCACCAAAACAGCGCTGGGCTGATTTTGTGCAGAGCTATCTGAATCTGTCTACACCACACCCCCCAGGTTCCATAATATCAGCAACCCCAATGCTCCGTGTATGCCATGCTATCTTAACTCCAGAATAAGCAGGTATTGACACTAATTCTAAGAAAACTTGATGCATTTCCCGAAATTTTTAACCGCCAGCCCGGAAGGTAATGACTTTTTTTTTTTTTTTTTTCCTCTTTTAACCAATACACCCATTTTCAAAGCTCAAAAGAATCGTTTAATCTTTCTTCACAGTTAAAAAAATCTCTACAGATAGAACATGGCAAGGTATTACCATTTTGGTAGCAATACAGGGAAGAAGAAAAAATGATGGCTTTGAGATTTAAGAACTAATGGCTTGTTCATTCATTCTCCTGTTAGATTCCTGAAGATTTTCTAAGTACATATTGCCTAATTTAATTTTCAAATGACCAGTTGAGATTACAGATTTGTTCAGCTGCCAAAGCATGATCATCTCGGACTGAGGTAAAGAACAGCATTGCTCCCACCAGTTCTCTACAAAGAGGAGAAACATACATATGAAACCTGAGTGGGCTATGTGTACACAGCACAAAAGAGATGCTGATAATGTATGACGCTGTTTCTTTTTGGCAGTTCAAACATTTCTAAACAGGAATGTGATAACCCAGAAAAAACACAACTTCTGCCCTCAAAAACCCAGGGCTGGTTTAGATATGATTTAGAAAGAAATGCAAGAAAACACAGGCCTGATTCCGTCAGTAAGACAAGAAAGATAACACATGCATTAAAAGATAAAATATTGCATATTCTGAATGTTTGCAGGATTTTTCTCCTTTAATAAGAACACTTCAATATGGCCACTTAACTTTTAGTAAGCCCTACGGTATGAATGAGCATTACATTCTTTTTCCATAATATTTTCAGTAAAATAATGACTTCATTATATTTTATAATATATAAAGAAACCTTAAAAATGGCCATGAGTTTTTACTGTTTATTTCCCCCCTCACGTATCAGAAACACCAAGTCTAGTCTTCGCTGGTTATAAAGGATGCCTGTGAAAATTTCAGGGTATGGTTGCTTATGTCTCTCTACAACTGATGAAAAGCAGCTGTGTTAAATCTAAAACCCCTCCTTTATCAGAACCATAACATACTGAAGTTATAGATATCAATTCTTTGAACCATGCGAAAAATATAGCTCTCCCCCCGAAAACAGTTGAGATTTCATTTGATCCTGAGTCATCACTAGGCCCACAAAGTCTTAATGTTTCAAAGCTGAAAGCCTTTATTTTTCCACACAAAAGGCAAGAAGAAAAAACCATCCACTTGAAAATTCTCTTTATCCATGATAAAAATGGCCATAACACTGTTAAAGCAAGAACAGTAGTAACATTTTCCATCAATTCTGACCAAAGAATTTTAACAACTCTTACAAAGGAACAGAGGTCAGTATAGCTATATAGCCTGCCTTTATCGCTTCCCTACCACAGTCAGACACCCATGACGCTGGTCAAAATTAGGGCAACTCAGACGTACCGGTCCCAGAGAAGTGTTCTAGCTAAGAAATACCTGGTTTATGGACAAAAATCGGCTAACTGAAGTCTGAAGAACAAGCAAAACCACAGTACAAGCAATAGACGGAGAAGTATGTTTACCTTTCTGATTTGGTAGCAGATTAACACAAAACCAGAAATGGTGGGAGGAGGGATGTAAAGGTTGTTATGAATACATACCAGCTGTTACCAGCACAAGATTTTGCCACAAATTCACTATTACAGCCCTTCCCTTAAAACTGAAAAGTTTCTCATGCTACCTGTTCAAGTACTTCCTTCTTAGCAGAAACATTTATACCAAATTACACTTGTAATTGGTAGTTACATTTCTCCAAACAAGCAAAATTGGATTTTTTTTCAAAAACAGAAGTTTAATACGTACCCTGTAAGTATTGCTATCACTTGTTAAATAAGTAACACTTCCCATATTTAAGAATTGAAGAAAATTTTCTGAAGTTTCACAGAAAAAGAAGACTGCAGATGTATTGTTACTTACAAGGCAGTTATCACAAATGCTACTTTCTTTTCTTTTTTGTGGTCATTCATTCTGTTTCATAAAGAGGTTTAAAGTTATTACATCTCAAATGAAAGCCTATAAAAACATACTGAAAGATACAACATGCTTAAAAAGAGTTTTCTTGGTTTCACAAGCTTTTCTTGTTTCTCTTTTATGAAGAGCTGAGAAATTAAAATTAGCATTTGAAAGTATTCAAAAGATTGTTTAAACTTCTCATTTAGGTGTCAGATTCCACAGGTGCGATTTCTCATTAAATACAGTGAAACCTTCTTGAAATCAACCTTACTAGGCAACCTCTGTTATTAACATTATAAAGCAAAACAGTAAAATTCTGGTTTC